AGCCCACTGCATGGGAGAACATATTTGCCAATGTTATCTCCAATAAGGGTTTAATCTCCAACATTTACAAGGAACTCATACAACTTAACAAAAGGAAGATAAACAATCCAATCAAAAAATGGGCAAAGGACCTAAATAGAAACATTTTGAAAGAGGACATTCAGAAAGCCAAGAGACATATGAAATCATGCTCAAAGTCACTAATCATCCGAGAGATGCAAATCAAAACAACAATGAGGTACCATCTCACACCTGTCAGAATGGCTATCATCAACAAATCCACAAACGTTAAGTGCTGGAGAGGATGTGGAGAAAAAGGAACCCTCATGCACTGCTGGTGGGAATGCAGACTGGTGCAGCCAATGTGGAAAACAGTGTGGCGCTTCCTCAAAAAATTAAAAATGGAACTTCCATTTGACCCAGTAATACCACTTCTAGGAATATATCCCAAGAAACCAGAAACACCAATCAAAAAGGATATATGCACCCATATGTTCATTGTGGCACAATTCACCATATCTAAGATTTGGAAACAGCCTAAATGCTCATCAGCAGATGAATGGATTAGAAAACTGTGGTACATCTACACAATGGAATATGCTGCTATAAAAAAGAAGGAATTCTTACCATTTGCAACAGCATGGATGGATCTGAAGAGCATTATGCTAAGTGAAATAAGCCAGTCAGTGAAAGATAAATACCACATGATCTCACTCATTTATGGATAATAAAGAACATTACAAACTGTTGAACAAAAATAGAGGCAAAGAAGCATCGAACAGACTGACAAACTACAGCGGGAAGGCTGGGGAGGGTTGTAGGGATAAGAGATCAACGGAAGGACTTGTATGCATGCATATAAGCACAACCAACAGACGCAAAACACTGGGGGCAGGGGGACGAGGGCAAGTGCTGGGGGGTAGGGAAGGCTGCGGGGAGGTCAGTGGGGGGAGAAAAAAGAGACATATGTACTACTATTTGTAATACCTTAAACAACATTAAAAATAAATAAATATGGGAAACATTTAAATGTCTTGAAATCTATCTAAAAATATAACAGTATGTTTAACAAATCTTTTCAAGAACTAATTTTCTTAATTAAAAAATAAAGTACATATTTATCTAGAAAAAAAAAGAAACCCTGCAAAAGTTTGTTTCTAATAGGTTAAAAGCATGAGAAAATTTTGAATTAGCAAGTATATGTAAGCCATTTATTTTAGTTATAAAAGCCAGATGAGTATTGGAATGATGATTAGAAGGGATTTTTTTTTCCAGACTATGAACAATTTGAAGGCAGAAGTATAAGAAATTTAGTTGAAGGGAAATTGCAAGTATGATGAAATAAAATTTATATCTTAATTCATTATACTAAATAGCCCTCAGGTTTTTGTTTCGTATAAGATAAAAGATAATACTGAAATCATGGGAAAAAATAGATGAATCATCTTTAGTATTTTATTTTGCCATGTTATTTCAGACATCTTACAGTTAAACTGATAGTAAATCTTACAGTAAATTAATGTATATATTACATATATGTGCATGACAACATTTCATCTTATAAGACAAGTTGATATAGTACGTAACAGTCTTTTTTGAAAGTGAGGTAAATTCAAAAGTGAAAAAGATTTAAAATTTTTAATGTATATGCATATATAATTTTGTCTCTATTCAGTTATATAATCAGTTTTCAACTAAAATGGAAATTACTAATTGTTATAGTAGTTAAGGTGAGTTATATAAGAGTACTTATATAGAATAAATATTTTGAGTACCACAGAAACATTTTATATTACATTTTTTAACATCCACAGTTGAAAAGAAATATATATTTAATATATACTTAATATATTAAAGAGTTTCCATGTTCTTTAGGGAAATACGCGAAAACAAAATACAAATTATAGTAAGAATTAGTTGCATGTTTTCAAGGCATGTTGAAATAGCAAAGATGTTAATACCTGATCTCAACCTAATTACATTTTTGATCAGGCTAGTCAAATAAGAAAATCAAAGTATTAAATTTAGCTAGAGAGGATTCTAAATTTAATATCCTTGATAACATTATAATTCAAGCTTTCTCTTATCTGCAAATTTAAATTCCCATAAGAGATCACAGAAAATTTGAGAAAATTTGTTGATTACTTCCAAAGCATGACCCCAGGACCTAGTTTCTGAAACTGGGACAACTAAGGAAACATGTCCCCTCTTCAGCTGCTGGTCAAATTGCATTTGTCCCAAGTTTCCACTCACTGTTGTTGCCATTACTTCTGGAATGCATTGTATATTTTCTTTTTTGTTCAGGGATTGGTATTATAGTATGTTTTGAATTTTATCTGGAACCTGATTTCTACTAGAATTTTGATTGAGGTTTATACAGAATACCCTAGGAATTTGGATTGAAGTCTACAAAAATTGTTGTCATATTTCTTTATAAAATGAGATTTTAAGCATACCCATCAGAATAGCACATCAAATTGTATTGTTTTATTCTAATATGAAAGTCTTGTAACCATTTCTCTCTCATAAGCATATATTACAAATACTTCTTTCCCCTCTTAGTTTGGAACCATTACTGTCAACTGCTCATATATACATTCCTAGGTGTGTATGAGTTTTTAGGAACTAGTCATATAGTTTGTATATTATTTTACTTAAACAGTAGTTATATGCAAGTTCAAATTAGAACTCATCCCCTTTTATTTTTCTACTCCCAGGTGATCCATTGCATGCAACTGGATCATACAAGGACCGGCTACAAGGAAATTCTCTTACTGGTACCTTATTTCGGTGGGAAGAAAATGAAATACCAAGGTTAGTTCATGTTGTAAAGGAAAACATATTTACATATATCCTACATTCAGAAATTAGTGGTTACCATAATTTTAATCTTATATTTGGTGTTTTAATGCATAAATTTCTCATAAAAGCAAATTCCAACATTAGTATGTTACATGGAATCATAGATTTTAAAAAGAGACCATGAAAATATACTTATCGCCTAATTAATAAAAGAAATCTGGATGTAAATTTTTATACTTTTTCCCAACATTCATCTTCATTGTGCATTTCAAATTGATATCCTATAACTTGTCTAGTAAAAATCACATAATAGCCCTAACTGGTTTGGCTCAGTGGATAGTGTGTCGGCCTGCGGACTGAAAGGTCCCAGGTTCGATTCCGGTCAAGGGCATGTACCTTGGTTGCGGGCACATCCCCAGTAGGAGGTGTGCAGGAGGCAGCTGATCGATGTTTCTCTCTCATCGATGTTTCTAATTCTCTATCCCTCTTCCTTCCTCTCTGTAAAAAATCAATAAAATATAAATTAAAAAATCACATAATAAACTATCAATTGAAAAACTAAATAGTAAATATTTTTAATAAAAATAACCTTTTCTAAGTATTAAATATTTGTGGGAAAAAGTGGGTTGACATACTGAATATGAATAACATAATCTGTGATTTCTTTTGACTGTTATTTATTAGACTATTTTATTAACTTATTTTGGGGAGGGTAACATTTTGAATATTTAGGTATTTAATCAGTACCTATAAAATTATTAATAATAGCTTTATCTACATAGAACTCAGAAAGATTTCTGTTTTATACCACAAAGCATTGCCCAAGCTTTCTTGATCCTTTTATTAATTAGGTATTGGCAGGGTGGTTATCGTTTTCCTCTTTTCACTACACATATGTCAACTGATGTTTTTTATGTAGATATTTTTATGAAGAATGCAAGGTGGAAAAGGTGTTTAAATGATTTATTTTTTTATTTCATGAAAAGAAAATGTGAATTTATTAATCAATTGAAGATAAACCACCATAAAATATATTCATTTTAAACTACATAAATGTAATTTATGTAGTTTAAAATCCTAATGTTGTTGACAGAATTTTCATGTTATAGAATTACTTGGGGTTTTTTTAATATCTAAAATTAAGAAAAAATTATCACTAAGTAATGATGGAAATACATTGTTTTATAATAGGAATTTATACCATAGTGAAATCTATAAAACTTTGAGGTGATGTGGACAATGACTTACTTTATCTCTTGATCCAGCTTAACATTTATCAGGACTTTTTTTTTTTTGAGTGTTTTTTTTTTTATATCGGGACTTTTTGATAAACACACATACACATGCACACACGTGCACTTCTTGGTTCCTTCTCAGATAGAGTGGAAATGTTTTTATAATCATATTGAAATGGTATTAAATTTAGAGAGAATATTATTTACCACATCAAATTCAAGTTCTAATCAGTCCAGAACACAGTGACCAAAAGCTACTTTTTGTCTCATTTTTTTTATGCCTGTGATGCAGTCCCTCTGTCTCTCTAATGTTAGAGGAAATCAACTTGACCCAAGGATTTTACCTATTCTCTAGATTCCTTGGTTTTCAAAGTTCTGCATGTAGTAACTTGTTTTTGCATGCTCAAATTAAAGTTTATTTGTATTTGAAGCCCTTTTTGAACAATCTTTCTGGTTAGGTTATAAAGGCTTCACTGATTAGAAGTGAGTTTGGGCAAACCTTATGTATTATAATGAAAAGTTTGAATTTTAGAATGTTTTTAAGAGCCTGTTTTATTATTTTTAAGAATTGACAAATTATAAGCAAAGATGTGAATAGACAAACTAGTAAAATTAGACAAGGTACTCAGAATTAGAATTTAAAATAATTATGGGATAGCTGTATATATTTTTGTCTCAGATTAGCCCATATTTTATATTTTTGGAATGCTTATATTGCATTAAACATGAAAATCCATAATTTCATGAAGTACAAATAACATAATGTCAAAAAAATTTGCCATGAATCATTACTCTTAGATTTTTATTAGTCTCATTTCTATCCCCAGTGCTAACACCTTCTTCTGTGTACCTTTTTTTTTTTTTAACAAAGAAATGTTTTATGCCCTTTCACAAACATTATTACAAGGGCCATAAGAGAGAGCAACAAACTTGTAAGTGCTGAGTTAGTAGCTCTGCCTACCTTACTAGCTAGCTAGCTCATTGTTAATTACCACAAATCCTGGACCTTCAGGATCATTTGCCAGAGTGTTGAATATACAAAAACTGAATCTACTGCAGTAATCTCAACCCTGGCTACCCATCAGTATGATCTGAAAAGATTTTTAAAATTATAGATGTCTGAGCTTCATCCTCACTGATTCTAATTAGTAGGACTGTTTTGTTAAGCTTTGAACAGAAATGTTCAGAGAGGCACAGTTATCTACCATCGTTATCTTTTATCTCCCTTTCATGGCTAAAATGAATGGTCTGCATGTATTTGCTAACCTAAATTTTTTAAAATCTTGATTGTTAAGAGTATTACAAATGTCCTCCCTTCTTTTTCCCCCCTGCTTCCTACCACCCAGTTCCCAACCTCTGATTCAAAAAAAAATGGTTTTTTTTGGTTAATCCTCACCTGAGGATATTTTTTCCATTGATTTTTAGAGAGAGTGAAGAGAGAGAGAGAAACATCAATGTGAGAGAGACACATTGATTGGCCGCCTCCTGCATGCCCCAACCAAGGGCTGGAACGAACCTGCAACACAGGTAGGTGCCCTTGTCCGGGAATTGAACTCGAGACCCTTGGGTGCTCAGACCGACACTCTATCACTGAGACAGACTGGCCAGGGCTGACAAATTTTTTACTTACACTTTTTCTATCTACTGGAAAGTTTTAATTCTGAAAACTACTTCCTTTTCCTAGGAATATCTCTTCTGAATGTCTGAAGTAGCTTTGTAATAAAGACAAGAAATAGTCATAAATTTCTACTATGAGATTTTATTTTTTGATATTATTGTTTCCCTCCTTTGTCACAAATGTGTTACTTCTGGAAAATTCACCCTTGAAATTTACAATATAATTCTTTCAAAACTTGTGAAACTTTTTAGTATAAGGAGAAAATTGTTGACCATGAACTATTTTATCTAGTATGTCATTTCATGGCAAAATTTACTTTAAGTTATATGAATGAAGAAGACAAACAACATTAAGAATTATTTTTTTCTGAAAGTGAAAGGGATATATTGTGATAGGCTGGCTAATATGTTTCTTCTCTATCAATGATAAAAGGATATGTGTCTATCTACACATATGCATCTATGTACACATGTATATTTATTTGAATTGTAAAAATTCTGTGGTTTAACAAATTAATTTCTAATGTTCCATCAAAATTTCCTTAGGGATAGACTATGAGAAATGAGGTTTTGCTAATCTGTTTCTTTTAAAACATTAAAAAATGAAAGTGAAATCTGCCATCACCCACTTTCATGGTTCTCTCTTTTTCAATTGATGTCTATATTGGTAGGATGTGATGTCCTAATCTTTTTTTGTGTGGCTCTGATGAAAAACAAAAATTTCTGAGTCGAAGAGCAGAACTTCTGTAGTTTTCATAAAAACTAATGAGTTTGTGGTGTTAACGCATTTCCTAGTCATGATCCCATTATTAAGCCACGTGGTTTCTCAAATCTGTAGTTATGGAGAATTTTAAAGCATTATCCAGCACAGCAGTCGTTGGGGGCAGGGAGAACAGTATCATTTGCCCACCTTTCAGTATACTCCTTTCCCTTCATTTCTTGTTGCATATTCTCTCCTTATTTTTTAAAACAAATCTATGATTGCTAAGAAAGATGCCTCTGGGCAAATGATTACATATGTGTATGGTTTTTGATGCATCTCTCAGTTGTCTCTCTGTTATCCCTTTCTGTCCTGGATATGACCCACATTCCTTATATATAAAATATAATGAGCCAAAATATGTAGAATGCACTGCAAAAAGATCTCAATGAGTTGTAATATAATAATATTTTTGTACTTTTCTCTTCCTGTTTATCATTTCTTTATATATATAATATCAATTATGTTATACTTATTAATTAATACATCATTGGCTTTTCTGCTTACCACCTAAAGATAAAAAAATCATATAAGAAACATCTTCAGAAAATTTGCTCTTACATAATTATTGTGGTTTTTTTAAAAATGTTTTTAATACAGCTCTTTAATACTGGAAGGTATTGAACCACAGAGTACATGTGAATTAGAAGTAGATGCTGTAGCTGCTGATATCTTAAATCGGCTGGACATTGAAGGTATATGTACAATTATTCTTAATATATGTGTGTGTGTTTTTAATTAATGGTCAAAGTAAGTGGAAAAAGTAGGGAAGAAAGCATTACTAGAGATGTAAGATGTTATAGAAGATACCAAATGTTACGAAGATTGCCCTAACCGGTTTGGCTCAGTGGATAGAGCATCGGCCTGCGGACTGAAAGGTCCCAGGTTCGATTCCGGTCAAGGGCATGTACCTTGGTTGCAGGCACATTCCCAGTAGGGAGTGTGCAGGAGGCAGCTGATCGATGTGTCTCTCTCATCGATGTTTCTAACTCTCTATCCCTCTTCCTTCCTCTCTGTAAAAAATCAATAAAATATATTTTTTAAAAAAATGTTATGAAGATTGCTTCTGTACCTCTGAAGCAATTTTTTATTTATAATTTTTCATTTATACTTTCATCCACATGAGTATGTTTGCACAGTCATAAACCTAAAGTAAATGTACACTAAATAAATTAATATTTTAAAAGTTAATAATCTAACTTAATGTTTTTAGTTTTTAGGTTATATACCAGGGAGGGGATTCTTAGGTCTATTGGCTATCCTCAGATGTTTGAATCTTATTCACTTGATGGGTTTTTGGGAACCACTAGGAAGAAAACTAAAAAAGGACTAACATAAGAAATGTAGGTTGGGATAGTTTGTCTGCTTTATTACATAAAGTAGGTAATTGTTTTTCTTAAGAGGCAGTATTTATTTTTTAAAAGTTTGGGTTCCTCACAATATCTAAGATCTGGAAACAGCTCAAGTGCCCATCAGTAGATGAGTAGATAAAAAAAGCTGTGATACATTTACACCATGGAATACTATGTAGCAATTAAAAAAAAGAAAAGAAAAAAGAAGGATCTCTTACCCTTTGAGACAGTATGGAGGGACCTGGAGAGTATTATGCTAAGTGAAATAAGCCAGAGAAAGACAAGTATCACATGACCTCACTCATGTGGAATCTAATAAACAAAATAAACTGATGAACAAAATAGATCCAGAAACATAGAAGCATGGAACAGACTGTGGAATCTCAGAAGGTGGGAGAGGGTGGGTGGGAAGAGATCAACCAAAGAACTTGTATGCATATATGCATAACCCATGGACACAGATAATAAGGTGGTGAAGGCCCCAGGCCAGGGAGGGTGGTGGGGAGGTTAGAAGAAGAGGTCAATGGGGGGGAAAAGGGGACATATGTAAAATTTTAAACAATAAATTTTTTTTTTTAGTTTGGGTTCCTTTTTTTAAGCAAGTAGTTTTTACTTTGACCTTGTAGTAGTGAAGTATTATTGTGATTACAGCTCAAATTGATGGAAATCCTGGTCTACAGGCCATATGGGAAGATGAAAAGCAACGGCGAAGAAATAGAAATGAAACTTCTCAAATTAGCCAAACTGAATCACAAGGTATTAACCAAATAGTACTCTAATTATTTTTTTAAACAAGATAGTTTTATGAAAAAGGTTAAGCCATTGAGTTTATCTTGACCTTAAATTTTACTTTTCAGATTACTTTCAAATTTTCTATGTATTTTTTTCTATTGTCTTTGCTCTGAACCAGTGATTCTTTACCTCCAAAGTGTCACTCGTTGTCTCTTTTCCTGTAAGAAATTGACAGCTTTGTTGTCATTGATTTTCACCATACTTTGTTCGCCTATTTCACGTTTTTGTTCCTTTTTCATTATCTAGTATGTTCTAACCTGTATTTCCGAATAAGTTACAGAATGCTCATAGAAGCTCATGAATTCCAACTTAGAAACACTGCGTTTGATTCATTAAGTTTTGAAAATGTACCCATGAAATATAGCCCCAAATTATTTCTGGATATATCATATCCACTTGCACTTCGATCATCTGCTATAGTTTTAAAGAAAACACTTATTTTATTATTAAACCCTACTACTTCAAAAAATAATTTGAGGGTCTTAAATAAATGCCATGGACACAACAAAAATATTAAAATAAAGGTAAAAGAATAAAAGACGTAATTCACAAAGCAAATGTATTTGCAATTTAGTAGTAAGCCTACTAGTATATTGAAGTCTAATTAAAATTTCAAAATTTTAGTGTCTTGAACACTAAAAATACTTTGATAAATTTTGAGTGCTTTTTATGCTTTTTAAAGTAGAAGTATTATATTTTATGTGGAGAACATTTCTAGGTTCAGAGTCTGATACATGTATATGTAGAGAACAATGTGTTGGATTTAAGTTATAATTATGGAACTTAATCTTGAACTGACTTTAAGTGCTTAATTATATAGCTTCAATAACAACAATTTTTCTTTTGTTTGTTTTTATAATAGAGCTACTTTTAGGTGGTATTATATCTGTCAAGAGAAGGATAGGACATTACTATTTTAAAAGCTATTCTAAGAGAAAAGAAAATATTTCATTTATTTGCTATCTACATTTTTTTAATGCACTTTTAAAATTCAAAGATCGCAGGTTTGTGCCAGCCACAGAAAGTGAAAAAAAATTTCAGAAGAGACTTCAGGAAATTCTCAAACAGAATGATTTCTCTGTGTAAGTGGTTATTTTTTACAGATCTCAGAGCTATTTTATTGCTTTGTTAATCTAGTTTGTTATAAAGGATTTGTTTTAATTAAGCAGAAGGTTATCAGGATCTGTGGACTATAACGACGGATCCCAGGAGTTCTCTGCTGAGTTAACATTGCACTCTGAGGTCCTGTCTCCTGAAATTCTTCAGTGTACACCAGCTAATATGGTAGAAGTCCACAAAGACACAGAGTTCAGCAAAGGTGAGGTTTTTCTTTTCATGTGTACAGAAAATACCCTACCAGACATCTAAATACCTAGTTCTGAGGTATTAAGATTTAGTTGAGTTTGCTAAGTGTTTCTTTTTCCCCCTAAGAAATAAACATCATTGATACTGCAAAAACCTCTCTCCTATTCCTTTACTTTTTCTTCATCTCTAGAGGCAAGCACTATTCTGAAGTTGGTGCAAACTGTTAACATGTATGATTTTATAGTTTCTTATATACAGGTGGGGCAAAAGTAGGTTTATAGTTGTATGTGAGAGTTTATTGTATTATATTTATTAATTATTGTATTATTTTTCATATGAACAAATGTTAACCTACTTTTGCCCCCACCAAGTATATATTCCCACAACATATACTATTATTTTATGTTTTAACTTTTAGGTAAATGATATCCTACTTATCATAGATTAAACAACTTGCTTTTTTTATTCATCATATTTTTAACTTAATCAGGGTATAATATATATGGCACAAAATTCACTAATTTTAAATTTATAATTCAATGATTTATCCTAAACTTACAGAGTTCTGCAAATATCTCCATAATTCAGTTTTAGAACATTTTCTTCACCTCAAAATATTCCTTTTTCATTTGTAGTTACAGCTGTTCCCACCTCCAATCCTAATTAACCACTACACTACTTTCTTGTCTATAAGATTTGCCTTTTCTAGACATATATAAATGAAATAAAGTATGCAATCTTTTGTATCTTGCTTCTTTCACTTAACATATTTCCAGGTTCATCCATATTGCATCTGTCCGTATTTTTTTGGCTGAATAGTATTGCATTGTATAGCTATCCCATATTCTGTTAATACATTCACTAGTTGATAGACATTTGAGTTGTTTTTACTTTTTGCTCTTAAGAATAATGCTGCTAGGAACATTTGTGTATAAGATTTTGTGTGGATATATATTTTCTTTTTTCTTTTTTTTTTAGTAGATACCAAGGAGTGGAATTGCTGGGTCATTTAGTAAATTTGCGTTTAATTTTTTTAGTAAACTGCCAAAACTGTCTCCCAAGTGACTACAGTGTTTTACATTCCCACCAGCAGTGACCCCACATCTTCACTAATAACACTTGTTGTTATCTGTCTTTTTTATATAGTCATCCTAGTGTGTGCGAAATTGCATCCCATTATGGTTTTAATTATCATTTCCCTCATTACTAATGATGTTGAGTATTTTTATGTCAGTATTATAACTTTCAATCTACCTATTCATACACATTTCTAGTTTATTCATTTTAGCTGCCAATTAGTGCTCCTTTGTAAGAGTAAACAAGTTTATCTGTTTCTCTACAACTATTAGATGGCTTTTACTTTTGCACTGTTAATAACAACGTTTTATCTTGTGGCTATGTGCAAGAGTTTCTCCACAAAAGATATGTGTAAGTGTGATTTGCCAGGCCTTACAGGGTATGGATTATATATACTATTGTGTTCTAAAAGGGTTTCTGTAATGCAGTTAGCTTATACATGATTGGGAAATAAGAGAATAATGAAAGTTTTACTTAGAAGTTGCATTGTTTCGTATGCAGTTTTTCTAGGCATGGGGAGCCAGACTGGCAGGAATAGAATTACAGCCTTCAGCATAAAAGGAAAAGCCCTTTTTTCACTGCTACATTGGAAGCAGGGGCTTTAGTATTGATATACATCAAGAGCAGGTCTTCCCTTATTTGGCTTCAAAATTGTCTTGTCTACTCTTCATCTTTAAAAAAAGCTCTTCCATGTTAATTTTAGTGTCAGATTGTTTTGTTTCTGGGAAGAACCTTGTTGATATTTTATTAGGAATTTATTGAATTTATAGACTAATTTAGGAATATTTTTTTATTTTTCAATTACAGTTGACATTCAGTATTATTTTATACTAGAGGCCCAGTGCACAAAATTCTTGCACAGGTAGGGTCCCTAGGCCTGGCCGGCGATGAGAGCCAATCGGGGCCTCTGGCTGCCGGCTGAGGCCTTCCTTTGGGCTGCCTACTGGAGCCTCCCTTCCCCAGCTGCTGGCCCCAGCCTTCCTTCTTTCCATGCTGCCCCCCGGTGGTCAGCGCACATCATAGTGAGTGATAGAACTCCTGGTCAGACTCCCGCAGGGAAACTTTGCATATTAGCCTTTTATATATCTACTAGAAGCCCGGTGCACAAAAATTTGTGCACTGGCGGGGGGAGGGGAGAGGGGGGCCCTCAGCCCAACCTGTGCCCTCTCACAATCTGGGACCCCTCGGGAGATAACCACCTGCTGGCTTAGGCCCGCTCCCCTGGTGGCAGATGGCACGCCC